TGATTGTCACTTCAGTTTTGTTTTGACTCTTCCAATGGTGTTAGGTCGACAGTTGGACTTGATCTTAAAGGTCTCTTCCAACTTTAATGATTCTACAATAAGAACAAGTTATGAATTTACTGTCTGATTCTGGGGTTTTTAGGTGCTCAAAGCAATACCTCTTTAGCCATCCCATGTCCTCCTGGAGTTGGTCAGTGTGCCCATAAGGTTCATCCTTTGTAGGCAGTGCTGTCATTTAGTCCATTCTTCTACCAGAAGGCTTAAATCTGAACTGTATATCACAAGAGTAGCACATGGGTTACCTCTAAAGCTCAAAGATTTACTCTATCTCATGTACTGAAAGAGGTAAAATAATTCAGTTGTTATAGCTCTACTCATAGGGAGATGGTGTCCATCATACTGGATCAGATGGTTTTGAGGAGTTTGTAACAGCCGTGGCTCAGTGAGGACATGTCATGGGCCAGCTGGTTTTGTTCAGCTGTGATCTTGTACAGCAGGTTCAAAGGTATGTTGCGGGAGTGCTTAATACGAGGAAAAATTCATTGTGTTATTGGACACAAATACTTCCCTGTTTTGGGAAGTGCTGTGGTCTCTTGACCACAACGTGCAGGAACCTGAGTGAATTCCTCCTCTCTGCTTGCCTTATTTTATACACTCTTCCCTCAGATCTGCTGCTAACAGAGAGGCTAATAGAGATGCAGGTCTCAGGTCTGCCCCTGCACCATCATTTTTATAAAACCTATCCCACAGTAGCGCTTTGAATGACCTCAGGGTACTTTCAGGTGTTCTTCCAGATGCTTAACCCCACAAACCCAAGCACTGCCATGGAGTGCAATAGGACTGATGGTGTGTGCAGAGCTGAGTGTGTGCACTGGTATGTCTGCATACTGCTGACACGTTCAACCAACCGTGAAGTTCATGGCCAATTCTCTGTTGCAGTTGTATCGCTGAGAAATAGCTATTTAGGAGCAGACAAAGTGTGCCTGATGCTCAGAGTGCAGTCTAGGCTTGGAGATCTAGCTCACCAAACAGCTCATGCAAGAGGGAGAGACTGATACTGTGCCTTTTTAAAAACGTGTGGTAACTCTTTAAAAATTGTCGACTCTGCTTACCTTGAATATATTGCGCAGTAAGTGGCACGATGCTGTCTGCTTGCTGGCTTTTGGCTGCTGGCTTATGTGATGGTTGACTTTTAGCCTCTAAATGTCTTCCATTTTTGTGGGATTGATCTTTTTGCCTATTAAGCTGGTCCTCAAACGGGATCGTTAATAAACTTTTTTTTCAATCTCCTGCTATTACAGAAACAATCCCCTGTAAATGCTAACTTTGAACTTCAATGGAGAAGTGATCTTAGTCAGCGAAACTATAAAAATACCCTTTTTAAAAGGACAGGCTGCACCTTATCTTTGATGGCAACTTAATGCAGTCTCTCTGAATTATGTGCCTCTGTCAAAGCGAAATTAAATCTTTGGAGGTAAAATTCAATATTAACTTCAGAATATTTCAATTTCCTCCTCCTGCCCTCTGACAAACACACATGATATGGGAATTGTATTGTTTTAAATATCTCATGAAGGCTGGCTCTAGTGTAACCAAGAAGTGACCATTTCAGCTGATAGAATCACAGCTGCCCTAAGATACCTTTTTTGGCTTAATATTTGGGACCTTCTCTCCCAATAGTACTGTAGTCACCCTTTTGCACTCTTTTATGTATCATGGTCTGATTTTTTTTCTTTATTAATCCCTAATGGTACAGGCACGCATCTTTTAAACCAAGCAAAAAAACCCCAACAAACCCACTACAATGCATTGAATGCAACGAATCCTGTTGCGAGCAACTTTCACCTTTAGTGCATCCCTGAAGGTCAGGAGGAGCAGCCGCCTGTCGTCCTGTGTCTCTGAGGATGGGTACCTTATTTTTGAGCCCTTGCTTGTTACCGAGGCAAGGTTTCCTACTGAAACAGGTCGTCTTGAAATTCATTAGATTCCTGGTTATTTAATCCACAAAGTCTTTCACTTAATAGAGGGGACTTAAAAAGGGTGAAGGGACTTCTGTGTTAGGCACGGTTAGGAGAGGAATTTGCCTGTAAAGCTGTGTGCATTGCAGCAGCACTGGACAGCCTCTCAGCAGCTGTAGATGCACAAGGCACTGTACAAATATGTAAGAGTTTCTCCCATAAAGCATAAAAAACACAGCGAAGGGGAGAAGAAATAAATGGGTTATGATCTTATTGACGCGTACCCTTCCCTTTCTGCAGGCTGCCAGGCTATTGCACAGCTCCCCAGGCTCTTCTGAAATGAGTAAAACCTCCAAAGCAGAACCAGTGCCCTATTGCTACTTGATCCGTGCGTGGGTGGCTCCTAACCAGCCACAGTCACCGCCTTTATTCATTGTTCAGGAGCTTTGTGAAACATCTGAGCTTGAGCTCCAAAATGAGTAACAGGAGCTTGCTGAAAGCAGAGTTATCTGTTGGTATTTAGAAATTGCTGCTTTAATGTTTATTACTACTGGATCTGCGTGTTCCTGCTGTCCTGGATGCAAGTACTCCTCTGTGAAGCTGAGACCTGCTTGTGCCAAGGTTTTGCTGTTGGAGAAAGCAGAGCAGCACTCTCAAATTCTTTCATCTCCCTCAAAGTTTTGGCCCATTGATTGGGTTCTTGGTAGCTTGGATTAATATCTTCATTTGGTTAGTGTTTTAATGTGGGTCTTGTCTGTGATATCAGTTGCAATCTGGAGCTGTGACCTCTCGTATTATAGTCTTTAAAATGTTCACAAAGTGTTTTGAGTATAGCTCTAGATATCGAGTAGTTGTCTGTAATACAGCACTGGGGGACTGAACAAACCTGGCATGCCCAGTTTATGCTGGGGACACCTGGATAAAAATTGGTGCTGCAGCTTTAAAGTTGTGATGAGGAATAATATTTACCTGATGCTGGATGTCAGTAGGAATACTCTTGCTGATCCCTCCTTAGAACAATACTCTTCTATCTCAACTTCTCTCCGAAAATCCTGGCATGAAATCTGAAATCAGTGGGAGTTTCCTCTGAATTTCACAGCTCTCAAGATTTCCTCTGGTAGTCCTGCCTTCTCAAAACGGTATATATGTTTTTGTGTTTGTGTATAGCATTTCAGAGGAGTCAAGATTTTCACTGATACGTTGCCTTCTAAAAATGCTGTCTGTTTTCTTGTGTATGTCTGTGTGTGGCTGTTCAGTGACGCAGGGTTTGTTGTAGATGAAGCTGCTGTGCAGGATATGCTCTAGACCCAGGGTGCTCTTTTCTAGTTGGGCTTTTTGCAGGACAAGGTTTTAGGTTGAGCCTGGGTATGTGGCAACCAGAGGTGCAGCAGCTGCCACAGTGCCCTCATGTCTGCCTGCCTTGTGGTTCTGAAAACCACGACCAAGAGCACGTTACTGCCTCTGGGGCATCACTTAGGGGCCAGTATCCTGAGGATGCGTTGTATCTATTTATAGGTGATGTTATTAATAGTAAAAAAAAGAATGTTCTTTTTATGTAAAAGCAAAGCTAAATCTTAATTGCTGCACCCACTGTTCATAAGAAAGGCTATCAGATGCTCTTATTGTGGCAATCTGTAGGTATGGATTGCGCTTCCAAGACTTGCTGGACTGCAGCCGAGCTACGTAGTGTGGGAACCTTCCCACAGGACACATCCTGGTGCTGTGGCGTAGACGAGGGAGCGTTCGCACGTACCTGTGGTAATGGCATAGCCCTCTCCCGAGAGGAAACGATCAGCGGGATGGAATTGTTGCTCAGTATTGGCAGATGCTATCTCACTGCTATGAAACACTAATCAGCTTAACCAGGAGGCTCTGGTTTCTCAGCTGACAGGGCAGGGAGGAAGGAGAAGTAATCCAATTGAATTGGAAATGCAGACTTGACTTTGCTTCTCATGTCGCCTCTCGAACCGTAATAAAGGGAGAAGCACTTGGGAAGCAGGACGATCTCATTTTGTTTGTACGGTGTCAGAGTAATGGTATCCAGTGCCCAGCTGGTTGTGTGTAATGTGGTACCTCAGAACCACCTGTTTTGAGGAGTGCATCGCTGCTGGTTCCTGGTCACAGGCAGGGTGGGGGAAAGATGGGCTGTTCAAGAACAAGGTGATTTCTTGTTGCAAAGGATGTTTTTACGTACTGGAAAGAGAAATGAGCTAAATTCTGCTCTTTGCCCACCCCCTGTTTGTGCTGTTAGTGCCCAAGGATGACTTCTGTCTTTGCGATACTTTGAGGATGAAGGGAGAAATTCTGCCAGAGTGTTTTGGGAGATGATGGCAATTCAGAGAGGTGTTACAGAACTGAACACTGGGATGGCTTAAACTGGGGGCTTTTGCTCCAGTAAGCATCTTCCAAATGTACAAGCATGATTTCCTCACGGCTGAGTGAAATAAAAGCTCTGTAGACTTAAAAATGCAATTTTGCTATGTAATGCGATGGCACAAAAATGGCACCAACTTCTGTTCATGGATCTTTCACCAGAAGTAGTTGGCGTAGAGATTCTGTTTCCCTCATGTGATCTGATAAATAGAATTCTTGTCTGAAAGCTGGTAAAAGATAAAGACATTTGAAATGGGTCAGTTGGTATCTCAGCCCATGGGATTTTATTACTGTTAATGATGCGTCGTCGTGGAAAACACAAACTGAATTGGTGGGACAGGTATGCAGGGTCCATGCTTGTAAATGTAGACATCTGGTTTGAAAGCACACGAGATGGGGTACAGAGCCTTGATACATTGGATTTTTGAAGTCACCTTTTGGGATACGACCAAGTTTTGTTTTTTTTTTTTTTCAAAGATGTGTTCTAGTGCATAAAAATATGCCCTTTAATAACTTTTTTATTTTCCACACCTTTTCAAGTATTTTCAGTACCAGATTTAGATGTAATGCTCTGTTCTCTGTTTTCAGAAATGAATAAAGCTAGCAGCCCTACGTAATGCACTGATGGCATTCAACGCTGCGTCAGGATCGATCACTCAAGAGGGTGTGATGCCTAGAAATCTCCTCTCAGATTCTCCTGAAATGGCATCCGAAACCTCTCCAAAGCACGCCCTTGGGAGCATGGAGAGGGGTGGCAATGTGGAGAACCGTGGCAGCCAAGTGAAGTGCAGAAATCTTGCCTTGGTAAGTGTTTAATGAGCCTTACGCATAATGATACAAATTACATTAGGAGCTTTGTTCACGTCACAGGATTTTAATTTTTATTTTAATTAAGTGTTGGGTTTTGCCATTTATAGTCCTAAATAGTTGCTGGTGGTCTTGGTGGTTAACAAACCGAAAGGCCAGAGATAACTCCTCTGATTTGGTGCAAGAGCTGGTTATTCTGGTCTGGTTGAGGTGCTTGAGCTTGGAGGTGCTGCTCTGTCCACTCCTCCCAGAGGGCTGGGAAGGGGTGTAGGGAGCACACATTGCACTGGGCAGCGCGGTGCAACCACACCGCTCGTGGTGCACGGTTCAGTGCACGTCTCTGCCCTCACCTAAGAAACTCGTAAAGAGACTTAAGGATCATGTTGGTTCTGTGCACTGTTTTGTGCTTAAGTTCCTTGTTGACACCACTGAGTGAAGGTCTCAGCTTATTCTGCCGTCATGTAATTAGGTGAGTAACAAACACGTCACCATAAGCAAAGCTGTCTTCACATTAGTGAATATGAGTGTGTGGCCATTTACATAGTGAGTAATTGAGGGAGTAGGATGCGCTTCTGCATTTTTCCAATTAGCAGGATGATTCAGGCAATGAACTCAACAGTACTTTGTACTGTGACAGGCTAAGCCTAGAAAGCAGGTATGGTTCCTTGTGATGGTTTAAAAACATACGCAGCCATTTGAAGAGCATCCATTTTTAATTGAGCAAAGAGCACTCCAGTAAACATGCTTTCCCTAAATGGAAATCTGAGTATCTGTCTTGCCTTAAAAACACGGCATTAAGTTTTCCATATCTTTCCCTCTGCCCTCCCTGTTAGCTTCCTTTTAGTGAAGTAGTTTCTTGCTGTGAAAGAATAAGTGATGAAAATAAGTCAGCAAGTTGATACGTCAAAAATGCTCGGGGTCTTATGCTACTTTGTGAGCTTTTTGGCATTCCTTCTTGGTTGTTTTTAATGAAAATACAACTCAGTTAATACTCTGCTGTGTCCTTAAGGCAGCCTGTGTTGCTAGTTAAAACACAAAACAAGCACTACTAAATTTAGCCCCTTTACTGTTTCTGATCTGCTCTAAAACAAAGTTAGAAAAGATGAGGGTGAGGGAGATAGCACAGCCAAGTACACCATTTGGACTCGGGTATTTAGAATATGTTGTTTATTATATGGAAACTGGCTGGATCTTAAAGAATTACAGTAGGAGTTGCACTTTGTTAACGAATTACAACACAACTTTACTCAGAGTTACGAGTTAATTTTATGTGGTACTCTGACTCCGGTTTCCCAGGTTATCAAATTATAGCCAATCATGTTTCCAGGGGTTTTATTCTTAGCTGCGGTAGCAGGCATGAGACCGGCCAGTCGAAAAAATCAGTATTGAATAACAGGGCTATGTATAAGTCAGTATATTTGTGCAGTGTCATCCTGAGTCTGCTGTGTCAGAAAAGGACACGGATTCCCTTAGCCTAACTAGACCTTGCTGTGTGATAACCCACGCGATGATGCATCAGCTGGAATTGGGATCCCTTCCTGCTCTGTAATGCAGTGATTTATAGGTGGAGTAAAAGCTCCAGCAGAGCTGTGCATCAGCAAAAGAAGTTCCTGAAGCCTGTAGCTGGTCTTGGTTTAGTTTGTGCATGAAGAAAGTGAACTATGTACCAGCAAGTTTAATTCTGGTGCCACAGCTTCCCTGCCATGGCTGTTCCTCCAACCAGTAGGGGTCATATCCAATAAGGCTGACAACTGGCAGGTGTGGAACAGCAGGTTAGGAAATGGAAATGCTTTTCAGTGAAGGCATAATTTCAGTTGAAGTTGGAGAAGGGGTCCGTGGTGAACTGAACATGGAGGAAATCCTGCCAGTTGTAACTGAGGAGATAGCACTCAAGTCTTTAGTGCTGCTCAGATCTTTCCCGTTTGTGATCGGATGTAAGGAAACAGCATTGTTGCGCTGGCTGATACCTTTTGTCTGTTCAGTACTGAAACAGGCTTTAGAAATCCTCATGATAAAGAGCACTATTCTTCAATTGTTTCTTTTTCTATATTCTTGTGTAATTGTGTATTAAAACCATGGCTTTTACAGTCCACTAAGCAGACGTGGGGATTTGTAAGAGGAAAAGCTGGTTGCTGGAACATGGTCCTAGGTACCTTAACTTCTTGCTTCAGTGGTTTTGTTATAAACGTTCAGAGATGCAGAAGTTTTGATGGCCAAATGAGGAGGGGATAGATAACTTTGTGTAGACAAGTAATAGATTTTCTTATATATTTATTATTTCTAATAATTTCTTACTAGACTAATTCTGAGAAAGCGAGGGGCAGATTTTGAGGGACGCTAGACCCTCATAACTCTGAAACAGAAGCAACTACAGACTTACCTGCCTCTTCATTTAGCACTTCTCTGGGTTCTCTACACCCAGAGACACAACAAGGAAAGTCAGGGGTGACTTTGAATCTTTTTCTCACGGCCTTGCAAAGGAAAGAAGTGTAGCAGTGCTTTTTGTGGCAGGCCTGTACTGCTGCAGGTTTCTTCTTACTCCATTACAAAAAAAAAGAGGCTCATAAGCGTCTCTGTGTCAAACTACATCAGTCACTAAATATAACCTTTGTGTTGAATGTGGAATTCAAACAAACCTCAGGGTGTGATGATAGAGACAAACACTTGGACCGGCTTGAGCCCACACTGACCGCTTAGAGCTGGCTTGGCTGTTCTTGGTACTGTGTGTTTGCACTTGCAGTCCTGGCTGTCGGTCTGGTTGCTGGTTTAGGAGTGACTGGGAGATGGACGTGAATCGCAATGTGCCGAAAAGGTCTTAAAATTCTGTGTGTGAGATCCTTACCAGTCGGCTCTTGTCAGTTCTATTTAATTTTGCCAGATTTCTCAGCTGCTTCTGACCTACGCAATGGTGCTTTTAGTTAATCTGTGACAATTGCAGTCCTTAAAGCCAAATTTATGGGGTTTTTTTAGATGGAAAGCAAAGTGCTGATGTCCTGTCTTGATTGCAGTAGAATTTTCCATATAAATGATAGATGTTCAGGTCTGGATTTATGCTGCCACATTTATCACAGCAGCTGAAGACAAGTACAAGAGCTTGCCTTTAGATGAGAGGAATGTTTGCTTTCATATTTTAATCTCACACCATCTTTTATAACCATAAAAGCTATTATATATGAGGACATGAATTTGCACATATATTCTGGTTTCTCTTTAATGAAGGTGGGATCCATATGTATGCTTGGCAAAGGGATGAGACAAGTGTACCTTCTGGATACTTGAAATCAGTTGCACAACCCAAGGGGGAGGGTAAACAGAAACACTGCTTGGCAATTCTGACTTCCAAAACTCAGTCTTCAATGGCACTCCCTGGTGTGTGGTGTAAGAATTAACTTGCAGTGAAATACGGTTGCAGCAATTTAAGAACACTTAATTCTGAGATAGAACCAGGTCTTGGCTTTTTCTTGAAGCAGTTTGTCTTGTTCCATCGACTGAATAGGCACAGAGCGACGTCTTAAAGCCAATCCTGCTTTTTCAGTGCTTCACTCTGGTAATTGTACTGTGCATCCATTCTCAGCCATGAGTAACTGCTTTAGTTTCTAGGTGTGAGTAACATGCTAGGACAATAGTATCACCTATGAAAATCTCAGGTGGTGGTGAGCTGTGCTGCTTAGAACTGCACTGGTAATAAGCTGGGTCAGTGCCTGGGATCTGTTGATACGACTGCAGTACTACACCTGTACCTCTGAACACGTCCTAGTGACAGGTTTGAGGGATGGTGAGTTTTTGTTACTCTCAACGGATCATGCTGCGGGTTGTGTTTTATTTTATTTTATTATATTTTTGTCTTCGGTTCAGACAGATCATTGGTTAATGCCACAGTTCATCACCACTCTTTTTGGGGGCGGTGGTGACCTCTAGAGTTTGGCCACTTTCTTTTGGTCACTAAGTGGCTTTAATTGACAGGTGGCCATGATTGGAAAGAGATGCCTTGCTTATTCCATTTGTAATTTCTCCAAAGAAGCTCCTGCGTGGCACTAACAAGACTTGATACCCAGTCACTGAAGATGGTTTGTCACTGCCAGGTACCTTGTATAGTGCTGGTCACATTTTGAACCCTGGTTACGTAAACAAGAGGAGCGTCCTGTGAGTGGCACGAGCTGGTTCAGAATCAGAAATGTATTTCACACACTCAGCCATTTAACTCGGAGTTGACCTGGTTATTTTGTAGTTTTATCTGTTGGAGCCTAAAAATGAGTTGTCATGGTCTTTATCCTTTTTGGTTCAGTACAGATAATTCAAATGCAATGGACTGGGTTTTTTAAGTGCACTGCGTTACTGTCTCTCTGGCCCATCCTCTCTGAAGAGATCCTGGGATTACAGTGTGGTTTTAGGAATTACTGGTTAAGGACAGATTTTGTGTTTGTTAACCCATTGCCACCTTTTTCCTCACAATTTGAGTGTGCAGAGTCTAGTGATGCTGAGCTGCACTTCAGATATATTCTAGGGAAAGTCCTGGGAAAGACTCCTTTCATAAAATTAAGGTGGTTTTCCTCCTTGATGCTGGTACTCTGCAGGCTTTACTGTACTACAGAGTCTCTCACCATGTCCAAGTACTTTGCCAAATAACGATGCAAAAAAGCCCCAATATTTTTTATGGCTGTTTGGTACTTCCTATGGATACAGCTGTCTTTGGGCAGGTGGAAGCCATTCCTTACTGAGTGTGGAGAGAGCTATGCCACACTTTATCCACCTTAAATTGATGTTAGCACGACTTGGAAGCAGTATGCCTTAGAAAAAGAAGAGTTGTTCCTACCAGCAGGGCAAGTAAAGAGGAAGAGGGGCTTGAGAGCTGCTTGCTTTGGACCATGAGTGTAGAACGAAGGTGAAGAGTCTGACTGCTAGCCAGGAATGACCTTGCTGTGAAATGTGCCAGTGAGAATGTGCATAGAGTGCAAAGTGCCTTCAGGATCTCTAAACCACATTGTTCTGCCCCAAAG